TATTTTCCAGCAAGACGTGGCGGGCGAGAATTAGAGGGTGCCTTGGGCCGGCCTGACACAGAGCGAGGGACCTCGAGGAGCACACGGCCCTCCGAGGACCCCGCCGTGACAATAGCCACAAGTCCAAGCATTCTTTGGTCCCTCTATATTGGTTGTAAACTAAGGGAAGTGGATTCAGAAATTAGAAGAAAATAGGAGCGTTGGTTATTTGGGGTCTAATTCTGTGACTCTGTGGCAGGGGTAGAGAGATTATTCTAGCACAGATCTCAAGCTGTCTCCACAGTCCTGGTTCCAGTAAGGTCAACAGCTATGCTGCCAGTGGCTGCTTTACCCCTGTTGCGTTCTGGAATTCCTCATCCCAAGCAGGGTTTAGAGCAGGGATGGGCAATTATTTCAGCTGGAGGACCACTTAACGAATTTTGGTGAGCTGTCAAGGGCCACAAGGGTAGCCCTGCCCCTTGATGGGTGCCCTGCCCTTTGGTTGCCATTTGGGGACTGGAAGCCCCACCCACTAACCCTCAGCCTTTGCCACTGGAAGTCCCTCTCCTTGTCCAGGAAGTGCTCCTTTTAGAAGGGGGGGTGCCATCTTGAAACTGGAAAAAAAAACAAGTCCTATACTAAAAAAATTCAAACTTCTACTATAATTTATTTGTACAAAGAATGCTAGGCTGACCTGCCATGTAATTTTGTGGGAGGGAGGGAAGACAAGAAAACATTTATTATTCCTGGAAGCAAGCACCTATAATAACTGGGGCAACCTGAACTGAAGACTCAACTGTACATATAATGGGGAGATATGTCAGATTTAACTTCAATAACTTCATGTTGCCATACTAGCATTTCCAGGGAATAGCTGTTTTCTGACTAAGCCCTTACAAACAGATGTTATTAGTAAATAGTAATCCATAGGATTTGATTAGAGAACTGTTCTGGATTATAAAAGGCTTCAAGCAGATTCTGCAAAAAACTAACTTTTATACCAAATCTCCATTACAGAATGTAAAGGTTACATAATTGAAAACTCACGTCAGAGAATATAAAATGTACAGTTGCAGATGCATCCTTATTTCATCCTTTTTGTATGAGTTACAACATGATCTGGAAGATATGTAATCATTGACTTTATTTCAAACAACACAATATGCGATTTCTGCACCTCCTTAGATATGTGTATTTTGGTGAGTTGGACTTCTTACTGTCTACAGTGCCTGGGTTAGCTGTCTCTCTGCTTCTCCCATAAGAGTTTTTGCATTGTTTCTTATGCTATCTTTACGTATGGGAAAAAATCTCACTCAGTCTCCTTTGAATTGTAAGTATGGGGTTTCAAATACTTTTGATTGACCATACCCGTCTTTTGTGGCCCTCTTAGCCACAAGGCCTCTTGTGGCCTTGTCTGCAGCCCACCAGGGGTCTGTGAACCACAAATTGACAACACTGGTTTAAAGTATTCTATTTGTTACCTTATGTGCTCTTACTCCATTCCCACACCTCCTTTCCTCATGTAAATATACAGAAGAGATGATTAACTTATTATGCTTTTGCAAAACACCTAGCACAGTGGGGCCCTGATCTGTAGGTATTATCATAATATATATGTTAAATATTGTATAACATGTAGCATCTTGTAACATTTTTCTTTATCCTACTTTTATTCTCAATGTTAAAATGGCCTTGTGTATCTTACTGGTCTATGTTATATACAATCTTCTGTTTGAAGTACTAATAATTTACTGTGTGTTTATTTCTTTCCAGCAAACAGTATATCGTTTCTTAGAAGCAATTCAGGCAGGTAGCCAGCTGGCTATAAATTTACCTACCCATTTATGCCAAAAAAATTCCAGTATTAATCTTCTGTGTTGTAAATGTGTCTTGCTTTAATTTGAATTACTTTCAGAATATGAGTATAAAACATGAGAAAATGGTACGCATACCTTCCAGATTATAGCAAAACATGAATGTTACTTTGCATTGTATGAAGGAAAATAGAGCCTTAAGTTTCCAAAGATGGTATAAACTGCACAAGCACTACAATTGCTTAAACTTTCTCTTCAAACATGTGCCATTCTCAATCAAATTAAACATTAAACCTTAATCCTGAGAAGTAATTTAACAACCCCCCACCAAAAGCAAATCAAATCATGCTATAAAAATGGAAGCTTCTCATGTTGTTGCCATAGCACTGAGCTTTTTTTAAAAAAGCTTCTTAAATTCTATTAGTTTTGCTTTTTACACCTGAGTTCCTTCAATGATTATTTTTTCCAGACTTAACCTTACCATTCCTTGACTTCTTGTCAGTTGAACATCTCTTGCTGTCGAAATCCAAGGTCTCCACAATGTAAGGCTGCTGAAAGGTTAATGAAAAGCACTCCCATATCACTCTATACTAACAGGCGTATTTCAGTGCAATGACAGTAATTTTAAATACATGCTATCTCTAACTTTGAAATACATGTGCCAAGACCAGAATTAAATTAAGTTGGTAAACATGATCTACATGGTAGATTTTTCTTTCCTTACAGTTTGTTCATAGGGTTGCATTACAATGACATTGCCAGTTTTAAATCTAGTTAGATGAATAACCCTCAAGTGTGTTCAGGTACTGCACTTTGTTTGGCCATCTAATTATACTTTACTGTTCTATGACCACATTTACTTTTTAAACATTTTTCCACTTCATTCTTGCTGTATTCACAAGCAAATTCAACAGGGAACCTGACAGTACAACAAATGCTAACAGACTAAATAAACTGGCAGTGGGCAGGGAATCAGTTACTCTATTACTGCCTGTGCTTATAGCTGATTTAAAAAGTTCTAGCTTTATTTATTTTTTATTAGAAAAGTCAGAATATTTTCCAAACTGTGTTGCAACCTTCCATTCCAGAAACCACCATCACCCAAAGTTTAACTGTTTCTAGTGCTTTATATAAAGCCTTTTCAGAAATAGGATTTTTAAGCTACAGTAAGTTTCCAAAACATATTTGAGGGCACCAACATTGTATGCAAAGTGCATATGAAGTCTAAGCAACTTTGTTTTTAAGAGTTAGAATTTGCTGTCTCCAAAAGAGGCAGTGCTGATTCTTTGGTATAATTTAGCAGCTGGTATTGTTCCAAAGAGTGTTATTCGTTGATCTCTCTATGGATATATTTCTTCTCTAATGACTACATGCCTGCCTTTCTGCAAGTGCCACCTTAGCTCATTTTAGCTGAATAGTATTTCACTTAGAGATTTAAAACAGCCAAGAAGGTGAGGAAGACACCATCCTTTTCTCTGCATCTTACCTCTCTGATTGCTCTCTTAGATGGAGCAACTGCATCTGCATATCTCTGGAATAGTGACAGATGTGAGTGACTCTTGCTTGAAGTGAATGGTCAGAAGCTGCATTCTCCATAGTCCTTACCTGTGTGCAGTCTTGTGTTCCAGTGTCTAACTAGCTGTTTGTTCTGGCATTTCAGCTCCTCCTTTATCTTCACTCCCAAAGAGTACTTATCTAAAACAAACAAGACTTCAGGTAAAAAGGAGAAAGATGGCCTTAATGAGTTTTCCTTTGTCTACCCTAAGTTTTTCAAAGATCTGGTGCTGTCACTGTTCTTTTGAAAGGATAACAATTACAGTAGTTTAGGAGAAATGGGGATCTCTTGTTTCCATTAGTTAGCACATTACATTGGAGATAACTTGGATTGTCTTTTTGCTTCTATTGTAACTTATCTTTCTACCCATTTTTGGTTCCTTGAGAGAGTCTGTGTAAATATGAATTTTGTATGCGTTTAAAAAGCACATCTTTGACAAAACAAAATGGAAAAGTATCAATCAAAAGTGGAATCTGGAAACATAGCACAACTTGACATTTAAGAAGATCTCTGCTTTCAAATTATAAAACAATTTGTTCTAACTTCTCATTTCAAAAGAAGAAAAAAAATACCAGAGTAAAGGGAGATGAGCTCATTTAAAATGTTGACCCAATGACTGCCCTAAAATGGGAAATGTTACTTTTTAGGTTGATCTCTTTGGTGTATGAAAGTGAAAGCTAGCATCAAAAAAGAATACATCATCCAACAAAGCAAGATGGTAATGAATATCAGTGGCCTATGGATCTTGTTGTTTCAAACTATATAATGCATGCCTTTAACTAATAGGGTTAGATAGAAATTCACCCATTCCAACTTTTCCTTCCCATGGTCTCTCTTTAGGTTGCTCATTTCAAACCACCTATTTTATCTTACAAAAACTGATTTATTGCCTGACTGGTAGCTGTGCCAGGGTAGTCCCAAGGCCGATCAATACATTGGCCTACCCCCCTGTCTCACCCACCACATCTCTTGATATAATTAATAAGTTGCTTCTAGGCGGGAGGCTGCCCTTTTTTATGCCTAATGCCAAAAGCATAATACACAGCTCCAACCTCCCCTTTACCATATTCCAAGCCTTGCAGATGTTATACTACTATCTGTCATTTCTGCACCCCTCTGGCACTGGCCTCTGTGCCCCTGTAGCTAGACCCTCCAGCGCTAGGGCTTTCTGTGCCCCTGTGCCCCTCTCTCTCTCTCTCTCTCTCTCTGCACCTGTCACTGGGCTCTACCTGAATTGTGTGCCCCTTTCTCCAGGCACTAATGAGGCCTCCAAACTTCCCCTTATAGCCTCATCCTGGTCCTCCTGTGCAAACAGTAACACAAGCATAAGCCCTTAGGCTATAACTTAAACACTAGCAATGACAACAGTACTATGTCCCTTTAAGGGGACAAACTTCCACCCTTAGGGCAATGTGCCCCTAGTCTAGGTACGTGGGAGGCTTCTGGAGTGTTGCTGCACTTGGATAGTAAAGCCGGCAGCACCAGGTCTCAGGTAGCTCCCTCATACAGGAGCTCCTTCCGTGTCAGTTGCCGGACACAGAGTGTCCCTACTAGCTCCAGCTCCGGGCTTATAGGCCCCGAAACCCTCCCTCCTGGTCACATGATGCCTGAAAGTGCTGCCCAATTACTCCCTTGCAGTGATGCCTCAGCAACCTGCAGCTGTGGAGCTCTGCTTCACCTGCAGAACTCTGTGGCCAGGCTGCTTCAGCCTTAAATGACCAGGCACATCTTAGTGCCCTGCTACAGTGGCATTATTTATTTTTTTCATTGCTATGGTTAATTTGCTGCTGTTACCAAGTTTTCTCTGAGTGGAAACCTAATTCTGAATTACAAAAGGCTTGCATGAACCAAAGGCTGGGTCCACCTGACTAAGGCTGTTTACCTGTTGACTTCAAAGGGAGCAGTTTTGAGCTCCAACATTAAACAAAACAGATTTTCTGTAGTTGGTTCAACTGGTCTACTGATCCTTATATATACATGACTTGGATCCCTCCTTGCTCATTGGGATGAGGGTAGTAAACTTCAAACAGTCAACCAGCATGGTCTCTATTGGTTGCAACATTTTCCCTTCATTAGCTTTTGTCACCCTAGTGGCAGTAGTTTTGTATCTCAGTAGCTTGTATTTAATCACCAAGAGAGGGACTCAATGCCTGCATAAGAGCTATGTGGACCTTTGAGAAAATACCTTCCTCCTGAAAGCATGAGAGAAGGAAGGGGTTTTTGGTGATACATTTTATTAGATCAACTGTATACTTAGGAGTAGTGGTGCATTGATAAAGAGTTTCTTGGCCGATACCAATAGCCAATTATTATCCAGCCATATCAGCTGATACTGATCTGATAACCAATTTGCAGAAATGCAGTTGGGCAGTGTGGAGAGCAGCACCGTGCAGGCAAGTTTGTGGAGGGGAAGGAGTGTGGGGGAGGGAAGGAGTGTGGGGGTCAGATTGAGGCCCCCATGGTGAGGGATTGGGGCAGGTGCTGGGGATGCTGCCCAGCCAAGGCAGTGCATGGGACCTGGGGGCCAGGGCAGGGAGCGGGACGGAGCCACGAGTGGCTCATCAGGGGGTGTGGGGAGAGTGGGTGACTCTCCGCCACTGCATGCACCCCCAGGGGAGGCATGTGCCCCCACCAGATTTGTGCGAGGAGCAGAGGCAGGCTTCCCTTTGTGGGCCAGGGGCAGCACCAGCCTCCTCCCAGTGGGGTGGGGCTGGGTTCAGAGATGGTGGGTGTGAGGCAGGCTCAGCTTTGCAGAGTGAGCAGCAGCGGCACTGGGAGGAGTGGGTATGGGGGGGCTAACTTAAATTTTGGGGTGGCTATAGCCCCCTCAAGCCACTCCCAGCACTGCGCCTGCTCAGGACACATTGCTCTGCTGCCTTTTCCTTGGGAGGCCCCTGCTGTGGGGCAGGCAGGGGAGAGGTGCAGCCAGGATGGGGCTTCCAAGGGAAAGGTAGCAGAGTGGAGTGCCCTGAGCAGGGGCAGGGCTAGGGAGGGATTTGGGGGACTATAGCCAGCTCAAAATTTTCCTTAGCCCCCTCCTGTAGCCATCCTTTCTAGCACCACCGTTGCCTGCCCCATGCAGCTGAGCCTGCCCCACTCACACTCACTCTGAGCCCAGCCCCTGATTGGCCCCCACACCAGGAAGAGGCTGGTGCCGCCCCTGGCCCCAAGCCCACAAGGGGCACACAAGCCCACAAGGGGCATGCACAAATCCAGGGGGGCAAGTGCTCCCCCATGCCTCCCCGGGGGTGCATGCAGTGGCAGGGAGCCACCCTCCCTCCACACATCTGCTGGGAGAGCCACCCGCTTCCTGCCCTGGCCCTGGGGTCCCATTCACTTCTCTGGCTGGGTAGTGCCACCAAACCCAGCCCCTGCCCCACTCTGTCCTTCACCATGGGGGCCTTGATCTGCCACCCTGCCAAGCCCCTTTCCCTCCACAGACTTACCTGCAGAGCACTGCTCTCCACGCTGCCCGGCTGCATTCCTGGCCATATGCATGGCAGCTGTACACATGCAGGCGGTGTCTGGGGACCCTAGCCAGAAGGCTCATTATATTTATCGGTGACATTATTGGTTACACCAACCAAAAAACGCCAAGAGCCGATAATGCTAATTTTCCTTTTATCAGTGTTGATCCAATATGCAACCAATATATCAGTGTACCTCTAGTTAGGAGAAAAGTTAGACAAGCTTTTTAAGCACAAAGTCTGACAGCAGTAACAGTGTTAATTGCCTTGGTTCTGGGAGAGGAAGAAACACAGGAAGTTTTACGTTGATTATGAAATCTAGGAATCTACAGACAGACTAAAAAGAAAAGAAGAGAATGCAAGACTCCTCTATGGACATTGGATTGGTAAAGGAGCACAGTGGCTATAAATACAGATATTTGTATTCTATGTACCTTAGAGGATTAGATGCATCTTTACATGTTAAATTTGTTATTTGATAAATTAGATTAATTAATAGATTAAAAAAAATTCTGTTATTACAGGAGATGCCTGAAAATATAGGCAGGAATTAAATCTGCACAAGTAGGTGCCATTCTTATTATAACAACACATCCATGGGTTGCCTGTGGTCAATATATATACTTTAATTTTAGAGATGTAAGTAATTATTATGCTTCTCTGGGAATGGCTGAGGATGCATAATTAGGTTTGTCCTGTTGTTTGTATACAGAATAACAGTTTAACTACATGAATATAATTATTTCTAAAATAATGTAATGCCTTATACTTTAACTGCAGATTAAAAAACAGATATAGCATCTTATCCTTTCTGTACTTATTGTATACTAAATAAAGGGAAATTAGAAAATATTTGTATGAAAAATTAAGTGAATAGTACTCAAAAAACAGACTATACATTAAGTACAAAGCATGGTGTCCAAGCAAAAATCTTTCCATGTATCTAGACAGCCTACAACAGCAGTTATGTAGTGCTGGATTAGGGTCTTAAGCACATGAGTAATTTAATTTACTTAAATGAAGTTAAGTCTAAATTAGCTATGTAGTCAAATGTCTGTGAGGGAAATCTATGCTACTGGTTGAAAAAGAAGTAAGCATTACACAGTGGATGACTAGATGTAATAATGCAGTCAGATCCATGGGGGCAGATGCTTAAATTTATGGGACATGGCACAATTGTGGGAGGACACTAGAACTGTTTCAGTGAAGTCAGCTTAACAGTTTTAGAAAGTTTTATTCTAACAGACAAAAAACAGTTCCGCAAGTGGCTAGCTCACTGAAATACACCAACCAAAATCAGCAAAATCTGGAATTTGAAATACTGCATTATTAATTGGGAAACTAAAATGTTATATCAGGAATATTTGGTTTTGTTGATATACGTCTACCACCTGTTACCTAGAAAAATAAACAGGAATGACATTAACCCGAAGGGTTTCTTCCTTACCCAGAAAAACACTGCTTGAAACTCATATATCACACAATTTGAATACTGTTGCATGAACAATTCTAAAGACACATAAAGAAACCATAATTTCCTATACCTTTATTTACCTGTTTTATGTTCCCACATT